AACCTGAAGGTTTCAGGTTCGATCTCTGGCGGTGTCGACAGTGCACACTGTGAAGAGCACCAAAACAGGACGAAACAGACAACCACTGATTTATTCTGGCTTCCAGTGATCTTTCTAACTGATTTTGGTGTTCATGACAAAATCTAAAAATTGAAAGTATTCATAAGACTCCAAGTAACATCGCCAGGCATCATAATTACAATATGTCACAAAAGGTGTTACTCCATAAAATTACATCGATTTTTTAATTTATGCATTATGAGATGATTGAAGGTAAAATAAAAATTTAGGTTACGACAGGATTTGAACCACTGACCATTGGATTATCAACCTGATAAGTTGGTTCAAAGCTGGTCACAACTCAGATTTACACTTTACCTTCAGTCATCACCTACCTATTACATAAATAGTAGTCTGCCAGACAATCTACGGCTATCCAAGATCATTATTAATCTTTTATCTAAAAACTTAATTGCCATCAAGCTAGTCATTTAATCAAGTGAGAAGTAATTACTAATATAAAACTAATATGCAAGGGGTTTGGGTTCGATTCCAAGCCAACGCATTCCTTAAACTCGTCTACTCGACAGTAAGCTCCCAATAAGTGGGAAGATTGAACATGAGGCTGGTAGAAACTTCAATCTCACTTTTTAAAAAATGAATACACCACTGCTACTGAAACTTTAAAGCTCAAGAGGTTTGAAGCCGTATGTCTCATTTGGAACGCAAAGAAATGAGAAAATAATACTTTTTATGATGAACCACAGTCTTTTTTGAAATACAAACATTTACAATTTCTTTGGAAAGGTATAACTTCGAGTTGCCTACTTTCTATAAGTAAATTTTTTTTTAAATCAAAAATTGTTACAAGCATATGATTAGGAAAGTCTAGACATTGTGAAATCCATTTACTATGTATACGTATACAACATTAAGATTTATACACAATGATGAGTTGTTATTTCTAAATTTAGTAATATTTCGAGCAAAATCGTTGCCTGGGATTAAACCGACATTCAGGAATTTTTTTGTATTCAAAATATGCAAAATATAGTTATCACAAACAAAATTAGTATACTTTCTAATTAAGTCAATTTTACTTCAGTAGTATATCGTGTCACTTTTGTTTTAATGTGCTTAAAAGCTACAGGTATAAGCCTTCGTTTCTGCATCACTGATATTGTGGACCTAACTCATCTATCTATCTTTTGTTTCCTCTGTGTAATCCAGAAATTCATCAGTCCTCGATTACGTCATACCATTTGTGTTGCATGTGTATAGATTCTCCTTCATTTTTTCTTGAATTGATGAGTTCACCTAATTTACATTTCGAAACTTCTAGGAACAAACTTAGTGGATAACGCTTTGGTTTTTAGTGCGATGGGTATTGGGGTTCGAGTCTCTCCAGTGTGAACGCCCACTAACGACAGAGTATGTCCGACCGACGAGTCCAAAATAAAACGAAGCGCAAGTCTTGAATTCTACTGCTACCCACTCTACCATACACATAAACCATTTGGTACTAATTCATACATCTGATTTATCAGGTTTCAACACTGAACCTGTGATTGAAGCTTCTGGATATTTATTGATTTTGATAACTTTTGGAAATATTTATTTTATTTCTAAGTAAATTTACTATATACATATATATTATGTGATTGTAAAGCTTGAGAATGATATCACAGAAAAGTGTAACTCTTCGCTGAACCCTCAAGTTGCTTAGACGTTGAAAGGATTCAACAACAGTGAAGGAGCTGAACAGTGTGCTGCGTTTCTCTGTCAAACTTGCAGTAACAACGACAAAGATACGTGTTTTGAGAGAATGTCTAAATCGACATGAATATCCAAAAATGTACTAGAAGTCTTTCAGATGCAACCGCAAACAACAGGATATCAGGACATTCAAGTGACACAAACTAAACTATACTGTGTGTTAGTGAATCATATGTTCGCGAAATAGATCAAAATGTCTACTCATGAGTTCATGCAGATCATAATTTAGATAAAGAACTACGACAGTCCTTTGAAGAATATGTTCAAGAGGTTACACAGTGAAAAGACCATGTCAGATCTCCTTAGAAGCCTGAAGGCGACTAGTAATAGTGAACATCGATTCTCAAGCAGTTCAAATAAAGGCACTATCTCTCTACGTCCAAAATTCTGCACAAAATCTAGAAGCTTCAATCCCAGATTCAGTTCGAAAAATTGATCTAGTACGAACATCTGAGGAGATTCCACAACAATTCAAAGTAGCAGACTTTGACAGCTATCAGAGGTTCATAAATAGAAAATAAAATATTTGTTTTATTAATTATGGTTGGTTAGTCAATTTACCACACACACACACACACACACACAAAACCTTCTACCCACCATATAATCTCCTTGTTTTTAATGTTGTCCTTCATTATTCATATTAAATTTATAATCAGACAGAATGAAATCCAATATGAACATTATTAGTGAGCACTCATTATTTACACATTCATTGTTGTTTATGGTCACTTACTTTGATATCTGACGTTTAACTTGTGACCTTTATGATTCAATAATTTTTTTTCATTTAAACATTAATGTTGCCAACATCAATTATTCCAAAACTAATATGAATGTATAAAATTGTGAAACCAGATGGAGAAGTTATCAAAAAGAATATGCTTTGCTCACAAATTTGAGTGTTTTCACATTTATAATAAAGGTTACTACTATTAACAGACTTACTTCTGTCAAAAGGCTTTAAAGGTACTCAAAACTAGAGATAAAGAATCTATGCGGAAAAATACATGAATAGGATCTCTCTCTCTCTCTCTCTACTTCGGCTATCTCCTACGGAAGGATGAGCCGGCTTCATGAACATCTCAAATCATCGATGCCCAGGCGCGGCGATCTGATGAAGAGAGTTCATGAAGTTTCATGGGAATTTGGTACGAGTGATGTCCCCAGAATCGCTCGGCATTTTGTTTGAGAGTGCAGCTCTAGCCTTTACACAACCAAGTGTGACCTACAAGGCAGTAGGAGTGGAGTAGGGAGTCCACTATCCATTGGCAGCCGGTGACCGGAGTTCGGTTCATACGCCTTTTTGAATGGGGCCAGACATCCAGGAAATCCAACAAGCCCTTTGTCCATACGTCTGCCGGTGAGCTCCAGTGGGCTTCATACTCCAGTCGTTGGAGGTTTGGAATCAGGGTTTAGCCATCTCCCCTAGACTGCCATCCAAAGGACAGTCAACCCGGTGAAGAGCGCCGGGCATCCGCTTTCGCCCTCTCACTTTGGTGAAAAACACCTTCACCACGTAAAGGCAGTGAGTAGGACTTCCTCAGGAGAGGCTATGTAAGACGCCCGGTCATATGGGAGCATTTCAAGAGGTGTGCGGAGGGGTGACCAACCCGGATGCAGCTAGATGCTTGGAGGCAATATCTGTAAGAAGCACTGGACCTGAGGTTCGTGCTTGTTGGAAATCGTCAGCAGGACGTATATCTCCAACTGCCTGAGACTTGAACCCGTTTCGTTCATCAATTCAGAGTGCAGTGCAATCATGAGTCATCTAGCTTACTGGCCATATTGTAAACCCGACTGATAGAATTCAGTCTGCATTAGCACCAGTTACCGAGGTGTAGATGTATGAAATTGGTTACTTTTAAGTAACCAATCAATGTACGGAATACAGTTATCATGTATTTTGAGGTAAAATCTCAATAACAATAAGATATGACATTAAATGACTTCAAAAAAAAGAAAAGATTATATGCAGCTTTTATAAATAAAAAGTCATAAAAATCCACAAAAAGAAAGCTGAATATGAAGACTGCATAATCAGAATAATATTTTTCATTATAGGTCTTTCCCTTCAGTTGAACCTCTTCTATGCCAATGCGGTGAGAGCTGGCTGCAAGCCAAATTTGCAGACCACAATTTACCTCAATGTTCACGTCCCGAATCAGGGTCATTAGAAAAACAATAACAAAGCTTAACCTTGAGAAAATCACCAGCCAATCACAGCGGAGTTAACGTGTGTAAATGTGATTCGATGATAGATGACTTCATATTCTGGGAAACGGTCACAAAGCAATAACAGAATAACCTTCAACAAGTAAACAAGCAATCAGAAGACGTTGATTCTTCGCTAACAATAATGTACATAAAAATCTAGAAATAGCTCTTGATTTTCTCAATAAACGATCTGTTGCCTGGCCCTAGTCTTCTGTCTTTACGCCATAATCATGTTAGTAAAATTGTAACTAAGCATAGATAAAGAACATTTCTGAAATAGCAGGCTAAATTACTCAAATTATCCGGAATAGATATCGCACACAGACCAATACCAATCTTTTCATTCAATACTACGCAAACACAAAACACCCAAAAGAAAAAAAACCACAACACCATCGGAAAAAATAAATTTCACGATCTGTGACCAATCCAAGAAAATAAGCTAACTGTAGTAGATTCTTTCATCGTAACTATGCATGTAGACAATTATGGACACCAACTTGACTGGGGAGAAATGCGGATATTTTAAAAACAGTGGGAACACCAAAGGCGTTAGGGAATTTCTACAAACCAGGTAGTCAAACGAATCAGTGATTAATAGACACATTCTTATAGATCAGATTTGTCAAGTAATCAAGAATAAGCCATACGACAAAAAAGAGTTAATTCCCAAGTCAGTAAAAAAAACAGTGAATGCTGATACAAATTAACAACCAATCAGGATAAACTTTGTTGTCAGGGGATACAAATGTTTGTACCAATCATGGAGGATTTAAATAACTTCACACTTCATACTGGATTCTGAGCTGAAGCGATTTTCTCTAGGCGGACAATGAAAGCTTCACAAGTAAACCTTGAAGCTCAGAGAACGCAGCTGCTTAGAAATCATTCACCCGTACTATAAATCTTCTCTATCTTTACTCAGGAATCTTATATAAGAAAATGAATCAAAGTATAGGATTGATAAGAAAACAGGGACAAGAACAACAACTCCTATTTCTACTTACCGTGGTGAAGTGAATGTACCATGTGATGTTGATTCAGGACTAATATTACGTTTTGTATGTGATTGTTCTGGGTCACTGGGTGTTTTTGAATCTAATTCAGTAGCACTTATGTTGGCTACAGTCGTTGAATTAGGAGATTGTGATGAGGCTGAATTATCTCCAGTCAATGATTTTCCCAGCTGTTGTTGTTGTTGTTGGGTTTTAGGATGCATTGGAAGAGATACTGATAATCCAGGATAGGCTAATGCAGAACAATTGCCAAGACGAACATTTAAAATGAATGGAATAACCATTTCTTCACTATGCGTTGGAGCGTCTAGAAAAGTCAAAGCAATAAAGATAATCAATCAATAGAATTGTGATGATAATTAACATACTCTATAAGTTCATGTTAGTTAGGCTCAATAAACAAGGAAGAAATAAAAAATTGAAATAAAATATCAAACTCCAACCACTGTGACTTTCATAGCATTCATTGTCTATGAGAAATATAAAACTGCCCAGAAGAGTCTTGTGTAAAATGCCTTCGCAAACGACCTGGAACAGTTGAGGGTGGGTAAACTTCGATCTTTATCCAGAAAAGCTTTTATGTGGCCACGCATTCAGTTAAATCCTAATCACTGCCTTCACTAGGCGCAGGCGTTCTTTACAAAAGTGAGAGGGTGAATTCGAACGTCCACAGCTTACAACCGGACAGGCCTACATGCAGGTCTATATATCGGGGAACTGAAAATCCCTGACTCTAATCTAATGGTGTACATCGGTTCCAGAATCTAAAAGGATCGAATCTCGTATGAACCTGTTTAGGTCACCGACAATCGTGGGGATGCAACTCGGATAACTTGTGGGTCAGAATTCACGTCAAAGGCTCGGTAGCGGACGACCCCTTAAGACAACCCTCCACTTCGGTCTGAGCGCATGAGAATTAACTCAGCCCTAGCACAACAATTCCATAGGAAATTGTAATGGGCACGGTTTTATTTTTCAATAAGTATGAATACCTTTATAAACCAGGTTAGTTAATTAAAGAAGTTGTAATTTTCCATCGGTTGATATGGTTAGGGCATTTATTGTGATGCATGGCTACTTACTGTTTGTCCACCTAAACGTTCCATATGGTAAAAGGTTGGAAGAAAGCCAAGGCTAACTAGACACCAAGACTTTTACTGTAATTTACGATGTTACTTACTGGCTAGTAATGATCTGACTGATGTCCATCAAATGGTAGTCGGAAAGTAACGGTGAGAGACTTCACGTGATGATACTACCCAAAGTAAATGGCAGTAGTATGACTACATCCACCACTTATCTTTCTCTTAATGTCTAATTCCTTATTTACGGCTTCTTATTTTATATTATAACATTCGACGAGCATTTTTTTTCTTCATTTTTATTTACCTTATTTAATGTCGTTTACAAATATTTGACAACACGAAACATACAGCAGTACTGTTAATGTGCAATGTTTAAAATATCCGTCTGTCTGTCTGTCTATCTCTCATTCTATGAATTCGTACATACTACTCTATAGGTATTACGCAAGGGATTGTTAGATGATGTATGTTTTATCCAATGCACATATAAACACCATGACGTAACTTAACTTTTCATTTCATAACACTTAAGCTATGAACATTTTTTTCTGTTAACTAAGTGCGTATACATAGTGAACATGCCATTAACTATTATTGTATTTATAAAACGTGTTCTACAATTTGAATGTCAACAAATACAACGCTCTAGTTCAATTAAAACAAGTAGGAAACAAGACAAAACGAAACAAAACAAAGAGAGTGATTTCTGGATCAAGAGAGATATTAGAATTCATGATCTAAACTTCAGTATGTCTTTCAATGAAAAAAATAAGTACTCAACTGAATTTCACATGAATAATATGTGTAGTATGTGCTGCAGTCATGTGACTGCATATCATTAACTTTAAATTAACACAAATGAACTGAATTATCAACGTAGAACTATGCAAAAAAGGTCCACCTATGCAAGCGACTGTATCTCAGGAAATCAGACACACAAGTGAAGAAAAGAGATACAATACAATATAGGGAGTGAACACGCATGTGCCGTCACGGACGTCCTCGAAAAATGCTACAAACAGTCCATAACTATGGATTCATAGCATCCTGAAGATTCCAGTCAGGTTATCGACACACTCATGCGCAGCTCAATTCAACAGCTAAAAGACTTCATGAATTCGGTGCCATATTTCCTATGGACCACCCACCCACACCCCATAAGTCATTCTCCAACTTAATTCTATATTAGCTAACAGTGTTTGTCGAAGAAATCAATGACTCTACGTAGTTGACATGTCCTGGCAATAATAAATTCAGTGGAGAACATGTCACCGATAAGTATTAATGTGAAGCTATTTTGTTTACAGTACTACTGTGGATTACATCGAATTTGAGTATTATTCAAACAGTCTATCTAACTTCATTTATGGGTAATGATGTAACACACGTATTTACTCTCTCCAATATTTATTCTAAATAGCGTAAACAGAATATAGTAATATAGTTTACAGAAAAGATTCTATGTAGGAATGTAAAGATAGTAGACACCAAGTGGGCTATAAAGAAAGTTCTCTTTATATCAAGGAAATGATCTTCAAAAGCTATATATATATATATATATATATATATATATATATATATATATAATAGTATTTATACTTAAAATGAAGGTGTGTGCGTGTGTGATATAATTGATACAGTCACTAATTAGAAGTGATTTCTAAAAGCAGTATGAGATTACGCAATAGTTACCTACACGATTGAAGTAAGGGTAAAGAATTCGATAAGGTGGAAATTGTTATTAGATGAGAAGCAAGGCTCGTTTAGTGTCTAATTGATAAATGTGTGAAGGTAAAATGTATAAAAGGAGTATGTGGTAACAGTGATTATTGTGAATCAGTTACTAGGATATGTCTGTCTGTCTATCTATCTGTTTTCGACATAGGAACTTTGCACATATGTGCGGCAGTTCAAGTCGCCACACTCTCTCTCTGTAGCACACAAAGCAAGAAAAGAAAGTGGGAGAAATGCATATTAGAGACAGTAAACAGAGGTGTGAGACAAAGGAATAGTAATAACGAAGAACAAAACAGTTTCATTGGAAATCATAAGTCACAAGGAGTGGATGCATCTGCACTGGCCACTGAGAACGATTTTCAGCCATGTCACCAATTGTTTCCAACCATTGGTTTTTACCGTCCTGAGGACCCCAACCAGGAAGTTTACACCTTCCTACGTGGCTTAGACTAACTGTTGTGGATTTCATTGACTGATGAAGCCATGTTTTCGTTTAACCGTCGCTAGCTCTTTTCCAACCTGACCCTATATCAGCTAACATTGACCATTGTCGAGGAAGGCGATGACTAGGCATACGTAACACATGTCCTAACCATCTCAGTCGATGTAATTTCACAGCCTCGTCGATTCATTTCCCCTCCTTACCTAGCACTCGACGCCTAACCTCAATATTGCTCACCTTATTATACCACTTCACGTGGGAGATAGAATGCAGACACCTATGATCAAAGACAGCTAATATTTTCATGTATTCCGCTCTCAATGGCCAGGTCTCACAGCCATAAAGGAGGACGGAGTGGACTGTTGAGCAATACACACACCCTTTGGTCGATAGTCGGATATCAAGTCTACGCCAGAGACGGCGTAAACTGGCATATACGAAACTAGCCCTCTGTATCCGTGTTAAGATTTCGTCAGAGATCAACTCGTTGGGGCTGATGGTACAAGTAGAAAAGAGTTTAGGACCATAGCAGAAAAAGAGTATGAATAAATCTTTTCTGTACACAGAATTCAGAGTTGTGTTATGAATCTCTGACCCATCCACTATACGCAAATGTAGAATTCTAACACCCGTTGTGCTATTCAGCCTTACTTTGTAGATAATTCTAAGACGATCCCAATGAAGCAGCGTGGTCTGAGATAATCAGATGCTCGTAAATCATGCCAGTAATTCACTTTCATTCCTCTCTTGATAACGATGCTGGCCAATGTTGTAGTTCAGAAAGTGTATGAACTGTAGAGCTCTTTATTACTCAATCATAAGGGATTGTACAGCTTCCGAAGATGAAAGATTCAGAGTTTGAAATAACACATTTTTTTGCTTCTCCTTTCTGTTCCGATTAGGAAACTACATTTCAGGCCTGAGTTTTGAAGTTTCATTATTGGTTATGCTATTTTTACTTGGCGGAGGATGGTGAGCTCACGCCCAACATCACATCATTACGAGGTTAGCCGAAGTTTAGGAGAGCGTCGGCCAATTAAGTCACTGGAATAACTCCAGTTATTTAACACATAGGAGAGAGAATAAAATGGTCGTGAAATTAAAAGAAAAATTCAGGGAAGACAATTTTCTTTATCGACGAAATCATCTTGAGAGGCTGTACAGTCGTACCTATATTTACCGAAAACGTATAGTAGTCTATCATTGAGTAATAGAGGGTGACATAATTGATATAATTACTCAGAAGTGGCTTTAGAAGTGGAAAATAAAAATTGTAAATTACGTGGTACTCAACGGCACAAAGTTAGAAATTTGATAAGGTTAAAATCGCTACTTAGAGGGAATAAAGGTAGTTGAGTGTCAATTTAACAAGTGTGAAGAGGGTGTGAAAATGTAAAAAAGTAACTTATGAGTGTGATAATAGTGAATTGATTATTTAAGTAAAATTGAAAATTTTTTTTAAAAAGAAAAAATTAAAATTTTTTACAGGGAACGACTAGTGAAAAAGTTAAGACCAAGGTAGAATAAGAGAGTGGACAAACGTTTTGTGTATACAGAGTTCGGGGTTGTATTGACGAATTGCCAGAGCCTTCGCCATACACAAAAGCCAAAACCTGACGTCCTTCGTACCATTTGGCCTTACCTTGTAGATGATCTTGAAAGACGACTCTGGGTAGGTAGCTTGAGTTCACCGAGTGCTTGAGAATTGAGCCAGTAATTGTCTTGCATTGTCCTTTTGCTAACCATGCCGGATAATGTTCAAAGATGCGTTTTGAAAGTGTGCACTTTGTGAGGCCAATATAACTAGCTCCACACGAGCAGATGAATTTATAAACACACGTTGAAGTGGCCCAAAGCGGCAGTTTATCCTTCAAACATCCATTGGTCATTTGTCGGCTATAGAAATTAATACGTAGCTCACCCATAAAGAAGGCTTTCCTCAGTGATCAGCATAAGCGATTCTTTAAGATCTCAGCTGCAGTATCACCTTTAAATTAAACGCTCATAAATAGCAGTTTCTTCGGCACCGTCCGGGTTCTTTCA